GTAGCAGCGAAAGTACGAACTAGAAGGGAGTTTTTTGCCCTAGTCCTGCATGGGTATCACGTATCTTAAAAATTGACATTTCGTCGATTTTTTTTTACATTTTGTTTTAACATAGCACAAGCTGTTGTTCACTTGTGAACTTGTGTTGTAGCTGTACGTGTTGTTTAAACGTCAGCGAACAGCAATATGACATTTTGTCGGTTTTTTGACGTTTTTTAGGGTTTTTATATAATACCAGGGCACGTTGTTCATCGTTGGCACCAAGCCCAAAATTCCAGATCTTTATTTTCAAAAATTCTGATATTACCCATCACTCTTTAATTCACTGAGTGGAAATATTTTCTTGTGGCAGTATGTTCACTAAGGAATCAAGGACTTTAGTCTATTCGAAGGTTACTTTGTCCTTAAATCGTCTTCGAAAAACGCCTTCGTTTCGATGATACAAGGCGAATAAAAATTTTGGAAACGTAACGCAACACTTCAATCTTATTATATTTGTTTTCTTGCCACGTAATTGAAATGGTTATCTCACGGAAACTTTAGTAGACTTCATTCGATATTAGGATAATTAATGTGAAAAAGAGTACATAGTAAAAATTAAGCTGTAAAAAACTCAAAAGTATTTGTTTCTTAATGGAACCACCTGTTTTTATAATTTAAACTGTAAAACAATAAAGATACAGCTTTCTATGACGTTGTTGCAAGATAGTGGTTTCTGAAATATTTTAAAATTTTTCTTTTGCAAAAATGCTTCGTAAGGACAGGTTCACAAATATAGGAAAATAGAGCGATTATTTATTGTCTAACGAAAATTTTTCGTCATATTTTGATAAGTTACTGGCAGTGGCTAGACGTGCAAGGGGTACGATGCAGCTTTTATAAAAGGTGTTCAGTATATTATAGCGAACTGTTTAATTTATATTCATTTATTTAAACAGATATTAGAAAACAAGAGTATTATACAATAAAAAAAAACTATGTACGAAAATAGTACGAGCGTAACTTTTTCTGACATGAAACAGATTCTATAGTCGTTCGCACGCCGAAGCGCTCGCTCGAATTCTTCCATCCGCCTTTCTTCCCGAAGTGTGAGAGTATAGTACTTGTATACTCATGCTGCTTCTACTTGTTCCAGGGACTAGAGCAGTTTGCTGAAATGTAAGTGCATTTAGGGTTTTCTTATTGGTGTAGGGTTTTCAGCCGAACAGAGCGAGAGATGAGAGATTGATAAACCTACTGGCTGTATGAGGTTCAATTCCCTTATACACCCAGTTTGTTAGCGTGAATTGAGACAGTGTGCGAAAGAGGTTGACTAGCCCCTTTATCCTCGGTAGGCTGTCGATTATGTCTTGAATTTATCGGGGCATTGCACATAGCTTCGAAAAAATTTAGGTCCATGATCGACAGGATAGAATTGGAAGGGGCATCTTCAATGTTCCTTCGGTTTCTACACTACCTTAGGATAGCTGGACACAACAAGCGATGAAAGGGCGGAGGGCTTTTTTGGTCTGTAGAACCATCGTCTTTTTCGGGGTTGGAAGAAGACTTTGGGGAGCCGGATCTTGACTTGTAAGATCGATCGACTTCATCGATCTATCTCGCTTGTCGCTACTGACTAATTTTGCCCAATGCGAAGAGCGAGGATGGTTGACAAATGTGGCGGACGACTCTTCATACTGCCCTCCCCGGACAGGGTGCCCCACTTAGATAGTTAGGGATCACTAGGAAAAAGCGTCAGTTCAGTTGAGAAGTTAGGAAAAATATAACGGTGGCAAATTTTAAAAGTAGAGAGAATCGGAATCGTATATAATAGATAAGCTTCAACAAAAAGGTTTGCATCATAGAACTCCAATCAAGTGGTCGGGAGTAGCATGTAGCTAGGGAAATGTTAGGGAATTTGTTTGGGCACTCTGCGATGTGGGGGCACGTCAAGAGATAGAGACAACTCTTCACCTTGCCTTGCTGCGAAAAAGCAGGGCACATCGAGAGGTTCCGACACTTATTATGCTCTTGCGCAGAGCATGTAGGAGCACAGGGACAACAGTAGTTTGCTGAAATGTAAGTGCATTTAGGGTTTTCTTATTGGTGTAGGGTTTTCAGCCGAACAGAGCGAGAGATGAGAGATTGATAAACCTACTGGCTGTTTAAGGTTCAACTCCCTCATACAACCAGTTTGTTAGTGTGAATTGAGACATTTTGCGAAAGAGGTTGACTAGCCCCTTTATCCTCGGTAGGCTGTCGATTTTGTCTTGAATTTATCGGGGCATTGCACATAGCTTCGAAAAAATTTAGGTCCATGATCGACAGGATAGAATTGGAAGGGGCATCTTCAATGTTCCTTCGGTTTCTACACTACCTTAGGATAGCTGGACACAACAAGCGATGAAAGGGCGGAGGGCTTTTTTGGTCTGTAGAACCATCGTCTTTTTCGGGGTTGGAAGAAGACTTTGGGGAGCCGGATCTTGACTTGTAAGATCGATCGACTTCATCGATCTATCTCGCTTGTCGCTACTGACTAATTTTGCCCAATGCGAAGAGCGAGCATGGTTGACAAATGTGGCGGACGACTCATCATACTGCCCTCCCCGGACAGGGTGCCCCACTTAGATAGTTAGGGATCACTAGGAAAAAGCGACAGTTCAGTTGAGAAGTTAGGAAAAATATAACGGTTGCAAATTTTAAAAGTAGAGAGAATCGGAATCGTATATAATAGATAAGCTTCAACAAAAAGGTTTGCATCATAGAACTCCAATCAAGTGGTCGGGAGTAGCATGTAGCTAGGGAAATGTTAGGGAATTTGTTTGGGCACTCTGCGATGTGGGGGCACGTCAAGAGATAGAGACAACTCTTCACCTTGCCTTGCTGCGAAAAAGCAGGGCACATCGAGAGGTTCCGACACTTATTATGCTCTTGCGCAGAGCATGTAGGAGCACAAGGACAACAGTAGTTTGCTGAAATGTAAGTGCATTTAGGGTTTTCTTATTGGTGTAGGGTTTTCAGCCGAACAGAGCGAGAGATGAGAGATTGATAAACCTACTGGCTGTTTAAGGTTCAACTCCCTTATACAACCAGTTTGTTAGTGTGAATTGAGACATTTTGCGAAAGAGGTTGACTAGCCCCTTTATCCTCGGTAGGCTGTCGATTATGTCTTGAATTTATCGGGGCATTGCACATAGCTTCGGAAAAATTTAGGTCCATGATCGACAGGATAGAATTGGAAGGGGCATCTTCAATGTTCCTTCGGTTTCTACACTACCTTAGGATAGCTGGACACAACAAGCGATGAAAGGGCGGAGGGCGTTTTTGGTCTGTAGAACCATCGTCTTTTTCGGGGTTGGAAGAAGACTTTGGGGAGCCGGATCTTGACTTGTAAGATCGATCGACTTCATCGATCTATCTCGCTTGTCGCTACTGACTAATTTTGCCCAATGCGAAGAGCGAGCATGGTTGACAAATGTGGCGGACGACTCATCATACTGCCCTCCCCGGACAGGGTGCCCCACTTAGATAGTTAGGGATCACTAGGAAAAAGCGACAGTTCAGTTGAGAAGTTAGGAAAAATATAACGGTGGCAAATTTTAAAAGTAGAGAGAATCGGAATTGTCATATAATACATAAGCTTCAACAAAAAGGTTTGCATCAGAGAACTCCAATCAAGTGGTCGGGAGTAGCGAGTAGCGAGTAGCTAGGGAAAATGTTACGGAATCTTGTTTGGGCACTCTGCGATGTGGGGGCACGTCAAGAGATACAGACAACTCATCATCATACCCTTGCAGATAGGGAAAGTGAGGGAAAGAATTTCCCTTAGGTCCAAGGCCGAGCTGTTAAACAAGGATTCAGAATTTAAAAGGATACTGCTAAGTATCAATATCAATCTCATAGGTCTGTTGGCTATGATTATTTATGCTTTAAAATCGTAGCGCGTCTTTCTTGGTTTTTTGATCTTTTAGGTGAGAGTGAGGACATTCCGTATTCCGGGAATGGTGATGAACTATGCTAAATACTGATGATAATGACATATTATAATTTTAAATTACATTTGGTATTTACTATTTCTATTAGGTACATACTTTACGAACATCTATTTTTAGCTAGCTGTGATTGCACATTTCTTAGTTTTATATATTTTACAGAACTGCTCTAGGAAAACGTTCAGACTTCCTTTCAGAATCATAGCCCAAACATTTTTATACAGCTTTGGAAAGAGGACACTACCAATTTCAGAAATGGCACAAGTTATAGGCGCTCTCGAGCGTGATATAATGAATATTGATGATAATGATTTGTATACGCAGCTGTTTCAAAAAATGGATAAGCAGGATGAATGTTGATGGATAAAGATAGAGGTTGAATAGGAACAATAGAAAAATGCTAGGAATGATCAAAGTATGCTACAATACATGAAAATCACAATCAAACAAACATCAACATTTTTACAGGGTAAGCATCGGAGAGTATGACATCAAGAAGGTTGGTTTTAAATTTGTCGAACCACTGAAGTATAGATAGGATCTTGGAATCGTTCCCAAGAGATATATCTTCAAAACTTACCCGAGGATTTCCACTCAAATTATACTCGTATTTTATTATCCATGAAATAAAGATTCAACCTACTTGATGTTTCAAAATAAGCAGAGGTATTATTTAAATGGTAGTACTTATGTGAATTCTCTTTGTAGATAAACCTGTGGATAATAATAGTATGGTCTACTGTCAACATCTTGATGAAGCTTCACGAAATATTTACAGCCAGGTTCCAAACAAAAGCTTCTAAAAATGTTCACGATTTTCATACAGCTTTTGACGAAATTCAGCGACATATCTGGAAAGCTAACATTCTGAGGCCAAAAGTTATACTACTTCGCGCTCTTGAAAATGATTACAGGCTGATACATGCAGAATGAACATCAAATCGTCCAATGTTCCAGGGATGTGAAAAGTTCAGGTTTCGTGTCTTCGTAAATGCTAATTAACTAGATAACAAGGTAGTAGTAGTAGTATTAGTAGTAGTAGTAGCAGTAGTAGTAGCAGTAGTAGTAGTAGTAGTAGTAGCAGTAGTACTGGTAATACTTAGCGATAGTAGGGCTAGTAGTAGGATCATTACAGGTATAAGGCAAGATGCCCCAGCAGGCAGGCTGAGGCCCCCGATGGTCTCCAAAACTATATTTATTACGTTTTTTAATTATATTTGGTATTAATTATTTATATTTTACTATCGCCAGCTCAACTTATCGAGAAAATATATTTACAACCACAATGGGTTACCACAATTCTTATTTCGTATTTCATAAGTATGTTGCCTATGATTATTACGTCTTAAAATCGTAGGAAAAGTGTTTTTCTTAGTTTGTTTCAGCTTTTAGGTGAGGGTGAGGCCATTCCGTATTCCAGGAATGGTGATGAACTGTGATAAATATTATGATAGTGATATATTTATTATAACTTCAATTTTGAATTACATTCTGTATTTGCTATTTCTGTTGGGTACATGTTTTATGAACATATCTATTTTTAGCTAAGATGTGATTGCACTTTCCTCGTTTTTACGTATTTTACAGAACTGCTGTCCGGAAAATTTTAGGTTTTCTTTCAAAATCACTGTCCAAATATTTTTATCAAGCTTTTGAGGGAGGAGACTCCCAATTTCAGGATTGGCCCAAGTTATAGACCTCCCGAGAGTGATAAACGTGATATAATAGATAGCTGTTCCAAAAAATGTTCTGCCTGGATAGCTGGATGAATGTTTATGGATAAAGGTAGAGGTTGAATAGGAACAATAGAAACATGTTAAGAATGATTAAAGTCCCGACTTATAGTATGCTGCAATACAAGAAAACATCAAACATCAACATTTTTACAGGGTAAGCATTTGAGAGTATGGCATCAAGAAGGTTGGTTTGAACTTCAAGGGCCACTGAAGTATAGAAGCTACTGTTGAGGATCTTGGAAACGTTTCCATTAGATATATTTTCAAAATTTACCATAAGGAGACCAAAAGCTGTCTACTAAAACTATATGCTATTACCAATGAAATGCAGAGTCAACCTACTTGATGTTTCAAAATAAGGAGAGATATTATTTAAATCGGAGTGCTTATGTGATCTCTCTTTGTAGATGAATCTGTGGTCTACTATCAATATATTGATGAAGATTTACGAAATACTTATAGCCAGGTTCCAAGCAAAATCTTCTAAAAGTGTTTTCATACAACTTTTGAAGAAATTCAGAGACATAATTGGAAAACTAACACTCTGAGGTCAAAAGTTATACTTCTTCACACTCTTGAAGATGATTACGACCTGGTACATGCAGATTGAACATCAATTAAATTGATAATTGAAATAATGAAGAGGTATGTATTTTTTACATAATCTTGAACTCATTTGTTTATGATTCACTAACGTCTTACCCGATACGTCAAGCTTATCAAGAAATATAAATTCTGAAACCTATTGCGCCCTAGAAGAAAGCTTTCAGCAAATTTCATTTTTCTAACAACTTATCAGAAAGATGTCGATGAACTTCGAGGGGCGTTTTTAAAGTAAGAACCAATCACGCATTCTGTAACATGAAGACCGTTCTAGCTCAGACACTCTTGGTCAGTCTCTCACTACGCCAGAAGAACTAGAAAGACATTATTGGTAAATTTATATGGGCTGATTCCTTTACATTCCTTTTGTAATTGTTACCTTTGTGTGGTATTGAAACTTCATTCCATTTTATCCTATGCTAATTTTGAGGTTGCAATATTTTAGTAACAATTAACCCGTGTGTTACGACAACAGTTCTGAGTTTTCGCGTTCTTTTGGGGCGGGTTTTTGGCGTCTTCGGGACTATGGACGAGGGTAAAGTATCAATGAGGGGGACTATCGACATGAAAACCACATGATAAGTTTCAGATTAACCAAAAACTGGTGCCTCGACTTGACTTGTGTTTGAAGATTTATGGTGGCTATGTTAAAAAATGAAGTGTTCATATTTTAGTATTTACATTCATAAATAAAATATCTCTGACTCGATTACAAAACGGTTCTTACTTAAAAAATGACCCTCGTATAAACCTCGTATAAAAATGCTTCTTTTTTTTAGGTTAATAACTGTGGCATACTGGCGGATTACAGTTTTTCGATTGTACAAATGAACCCAGAATTGTGAAACGACTTGGTTTCTTCACCTGATACAATTAATCTTAGCAGTGTAACATGGAGACACATCTGTGCATTTTATAAGAAAATGAACGACCACAGCAATGGGCGAAGCTTCGTATAGGAGCACATAAACACCAAAAAGGGGAGCCCGTAGAAGTTAAACATTTGTTCAAGATATTTAATAAAATGAAATATTGAACTGTAATAGGGATTCAAAACATCAAGTAAATACAGCTGAAAGAGGTTTTTTTGGTAGAGTTTTCCTCGGATATCGGCTTGCTTTCACTTTAACGTTAACGACTGTCCAACTCTCCCGCCTGTCGAATTGGTAGGTGTTTGATAGGATAGCTCGTCAAATAATATGGAAAAAATCGTTCTTGATCTGATTGTTCGTATTCTGAAATTGTCCACTTTAAATACGACACCACTGAATCTGTCTGAACTCTCGGTCCAAGACGATTTTCTTTCTTTGCTTGGGTTTCGAGGTAATAGACCTCGTAAGTTTTCTGTTCTTTAGCGCTTAAATTCTCAATTTCCTTCTTTTGGCTATTTAGATTCCTGGTGACATAATTATGACTTCATTATGGATCAATTTAGCATCTTCCAACATCTTATTAATATTTTTTTCTAATGAAACTACCTCAATCTCTCGATCTAATACAACTTATCTAATTCATATCTCTAGTTCTTCTTCCATAATCGATGAGCTAATCCTTTGAATTGAAGTGTGAATTTTTAATTAATCATAACAAAATCAGTTCAATTTCATCTTTGATAGTTACTCATTTGGCTGACAGAGTAACTCAACTAAACATCCCAGTCTTTTCTTTTCTCTAGTAATCTTTTTATGTTGAGAGTTAATAAACGGGTGATCTTCAACTCTCGATATTCGGTTGTTTCATTTCGTAGCCACGTAGTTTCACCCGATTTAACCCCAACCGAGTGTCAGACTTTTACTTGGATGGCTTTTTGCAGAAAGGAACCAACCCATTAAATATGAAAAATCTCTATTACGAGCATATAACTTATAAATTAGTGTTATATTGATTACACATATTTAAAGCCTTTAGTATGCCATTAATTAAAATCGTTCTTTCGTCTAAATTGAATTTTTTATCATTGTCAAAACTTAAAGCCTAGTTGCTCAATAATTGTATTTCTGGGATGGTTCCTTTCTGCCAAAAACCGTCCACTTGAGCATCTCCAGTCTGACACCCTTGCGAATGAAGTGTATAGAACAGTGCTAAAAGTAAGGTCATAGCTTTTGAAGATATATTCAGATATTAAATATATATGCAATGCGAAAGGCTTTCGCGGCCATCCATTATTATTTGGTTGGTTTTTGGGTTTCCCACAGTCTACTGTGAACATCTGAAGACGCCACCACTCGTGTTGACAAAACATCAAGTGTTTTACGACTGCCTAACAACCCCAAAACCAACGAAATAATATTAAATATACAGGGAGTCCCATAAGTAATGGTAAATAATTTAACAGCTTATTCCTTTCAGAGAAACATTGGGATCAATGTAAATTTTCTTAATCCAAAAATCAAAGGCAACAAAGACAATATGATAAACTAAAAAAGATAAACCTTAAAAATCTCGCTGTGATTCACCAGTTTCGAGATATTTAAGTTTTCAATGCGCTCAAGATAAAATTTTATTTTCCTAAGTTAAGATATTTTTTAAGTAGGCGGTGCCTGACGGGATGAATATATGCCAAATTTCGTTAAACACAAAAAATAAATGCTAAATTTATGACCAAAATTCAAAAAAATTACATTAAGTCTATCGCCTTGTATGTTGGTTGCCTTTGACTTTCGAGCTAAGGAAATTCTACTTGATCTCAACATTTATTTGAAAGGAATCTGCTGTTAAATTATTTACCATTACTTATATGGGACACCCTGTATAACTAAAGTGTAAAATCAACTAAGTAATTGACCTTAGTGCACGCCGATCTTAAGAAGCCTTCTCATCGTAAGATAGTAAAGCGGTAAGTATCTTACATCTTTTTCTTCGTCTCATTAACGGTTTCCGTTACTTATCCCCAACCGCATCAAACTCTCAATAACATAAACTTTAAGTTGTTGTCGGAATGTCCGCTCGAATTCCGGTCTATGCAATATTTATCACAACTACGTAGGTAACTTAACAATTTGAGATGAAAGACAAAGTTTGAACGATTGAAGATAGGTATAAACTTTATCAAACAAAAGTTACTAAAAACTTCATAGAAAATCTAAAAATTAACAATATGGGGATTTCCATTTAAAAATTTAAAGCGTGAAGCAATATCTTATTTTTGAATCACTCTGTATTGTACGACTATAGATAAAAAGGCGTCCCCCTAGAAATCAAAATTGACATGTCCGAGCGTTTTTCCCAAAATATACCAGGAGAGTCGCAAATGGGGGTGCGATTTTTCGTTGGGCGACCTTGTATAAAAGTACACGATACCCTGAAAAGTGGCAACCAAGTATTTTTTGAACGAAGGTTTTAAGAAAACTTTTAGGATATCTAAAAAGCAACTTATCAATCATCTCAAAGATGACCTAGAGAACGACCTCAAAGGTTATTTGGAACTAAAGTTTGTGAATTCAAATACTAAGCATCATTTTTGACAGCAGATTCGTGCCAGGCTCGAGATTTGACACCAGCGTTCATCTTCATACATGAGATACATTGAAATTTGCCCTAGAAGCCGTCTTAATTGTTTTTCTTTTATAAGACAATACATTAATAATGATTTAGTGTACATTCATAATCTGTAAAAATGTTTGGAACATGAGGCAATATTGGCGACATTGTACATTGACATAAACACGAGGAACATCGACTACTAAACACAGCTGTGTGATGACGAGGACAATTGGGGAATTTCTTCCCAACGTGTCAAGTTTTGTCGTAATCCTGCTCTATGTTCTACCGGAAGTTTGGCATCATAGATGCGCTAAAACTAAAAAGTGGGTGCCCAAGAAGCACCAGAAGTGGAACTTGGAAGCAGGTG